AAAATAGAAATTCAGCAAATGTAACATGACTACGGCTAGAAATGGGCAAGAAACTGGGAAAGGAGAGCTGAAAAATCATCAGTGAGTCTGTCTTGCTAGAAGGATGGATTTTTTTTATATATAAGAAGTGATTTTTTTCTTCTGCATTATATTATATTGTTCATAAAATCCAAGCCTGGGGATCCTGAGCCCAGTGAATCTGGGTGGACTCTTTTCCTGGGGGTGTTAGAGACAACCAAACTGAGGTGTTGAATAGCTAGCAGCTAATTTACTTGGCAGGTACTTCCCCCTCCCCCAGAGGTGCAAATCAGAAATCCATTCCATGCTGCTGGGCTTCAGCTTCTGTCCCACTGAAAATAAAGCAGAGGCCTCAAGAATCAATCTGAAAATGTTGGATTATGTTCAGAATTCAGTGAGGCACCAAATGGATTACCAAGCCACTTTGTGCCCTGGACTGGTTTTTAGACTTGGTTGGCACAGATGCACTTCAAGAAAGCTCTTTATTCAGCATAGCTCAAAAAAAAAAAAATAAAAGCACATATATGTATTGAATTAACAACCTCCAGAAAGGTAGAGTCAACTTGAGCACTCTCTTGGTTGTCCAATTGGTAGTAAAGTAGCTGTAGTAGTCTCTTTTCTTAAAATGAATAAAATGTGTATCCTCTTCAACTTGTCGCTTTTTAAACCGTGGTTAAAATTCTATCATTGTGCTTGGATGTTCCCATCTGGGTATAAGATACATGAGCATACTGTACCATTTCAAACACCTCACTGCCAGGGTTTGGCCTGGCAGTTTTTGAACACAGGCTGGAACTAGGAGTGAATGGTATTGAACTCTCCCAGTTGTCCAAAGGCCCATTTACCATTTGCAACTTAGTTCCTGCTCCAACATTTGACCTGGGCATTGTACTGGCACTGGAGAAGGTAACAAGGCTGGTGGGTTCTAGTATCTACCTGCAAGCATCTAATGACTTTACCTTCCCAAAGGAGAAGTTAAAGTATCTAAGGTTTATTGACCACCTATAGTGATTTAGTGAGTCGGCAGAGAATAGAAAATAAAACCAATTTCCTGGCACCATTTCCCAGGAACACCACCCCTTACTTTCCAGTGCCCAGACTGGAAGCCAAGAATCCATCTTAGGAAATTTGATCAGAAAACATATGATGGGTGATTCTAAAACCACAGAAGCATTGAGAAAGTCATAAAGATGTATAATATATGATAGCATTTACTAGCTATAAATAGGGGAGATGCAGGGAGAAAAATAGAGACCTTGTAAATCCACTGGGTCAGGAGAAATAGAAACTGCTTAATATTTCATTAAAAATGGATTTTCATAAATTGTACTTTGATATCTTTGGGCCAAAGACAGTACATAAGGACTAAGGCGTTGTTATTCATTACTCTTGGTTATTAATAATTTGAACTGTTATTGAACCAACACATCAACAAGGTGTATCTTGCCTGTGAATGGAGTACTCACCATGTGTTCTGGGCACCATTTGGATTGAATTAAATATCCACAGCAATTGGCCACAAAAGCACTTAGGTTGTAAGGAACAATGGGTCATTCAAGTGCCCTTTTACAATGTGGATGTTCTGAGAGGAGTTCAAACTAGAAGACTCTTGTGGAGAAAAGCTTAGAGTCTGCTGGCCAGCCAGGACCTAGCAAATCAACTCATGCAGAGCCCCCACTTAACAGTGAAGGACATTGTTGCTCGAGGGAGACAGAGATATTTGCCTACCTTATGAGCTAATTAGCAGCAGAGCCTGGCTCCAGGCTCCTGATTACGTGACAGGATTTGTTTTATTCTCTATGCCACACTCAGAGTGAAAGGTACGCAGAAATCTTCAGTAAAGATGATGTTCCCTCTGCAGAGAGTCTGGATATAGGGCAGGCAGAAGTCCAAGGTCAAAAACCAAAACAGAAAGCAGGAAGAAACTAAACTCGAAAATGTGAAGAATAATTAGAACCCAAATTCAAAGGGGGCATTGTTTGCTTCCAGAGATTGGGAGTGAACAAAAATTGAACAGCAGAATAGAACTCCATGTGAGACACACAGATGAGTCATGTGCTTTTGTCTCCCAACCTGACTGAAGCTACGGGAGATGGAGTTGGAGGGCCTTCATCCAAAGCTCGTGGTCACATTCGTCCATGGAAAGATCAACCTCTCTTGGCAGGTGCATCTGAGTGTGTGTATTCCAGGGCCCACATTCAGCACATACATACTGCCTATACTGCCACATGCAGCACATACATACTGCCTATACTGCCACATGCAGCACATAC